GTTTCAGAGCCCTGTGGAGAAGGAAAGAACTGTACAAGTTATCACTGGATGACATACTATTACTGTTATCAAAAGTCGGCTCAATCACGGGTAAGAAACCGCGTAGAACAATAAAAGGTTTATTTGCGAGAATATCAAATAAAAAGTTCGCATTCAACATTAAACCGAGATCAATCTTCAAAATTCCATACACAGCACAAATTAACATCAAACAAGTTCGGAAAGCAACTGCGATATATGAAAACGTATTGAATACCAACCTGGCAAAGGATCTTGTATCACGCATGAGAGTTATGTTAAAAAAGTCTATAACAGTTGGTGAAATCCTGCATAATCATAGAAGGTAATGGAAACACTACCTGTGTGTGACTGTGCAGCAAGCCCACTTCCAAAAACCGATTCACATGTTGCTTGCCGATTGAGTGAGATTGTACACAACCAACTCATGTGGAATGCGAAGAACGTACCGCACATGAATGCTGAAACCGGAAAGCAGATGGTCCACGAAACAATATTACAAACCATTTCGAATATACCAATGAAAATGAGAGTTCCACGCAGGATACATGTGGATCTATCAGAATGTATCAACACTGACAAAATTGTACATCAGTACCTGGATATCTCTGAAGTATGGCGTGTTAAGAACAATTTAAAGGGATATATATTATCACCAYTGGATAGAGGGCGAGACATATATTGAATGCCCGATGATGTGGCTTGAAAAAAACAGATCTTTCTTCTTTGATTCTGCACACTATGAAATCACCCAACAAACAGAAAGTGAGATTCTCCAACAAGCAATGAACACATATCAGGCTTGTGGATTGGGAAGTGTAGTGAAATGGGATGAAAATGGATCATATGGGAATGCGTACACAATAATAAAAGATAAAGACTTATCCAGAAGGGGACCAGTTGTGCCAACATATAACAAACCATCACGACATGTATCAAAAATCTTATCAAGGGCTATAAATTTCCTTTGTGAAACGTGGCGGTTAGGKTTYACTCTACAGGGKACAAATCAACTTGTTCCGAGACTGAAAGAATGCAATTATACGACGACACCGGCATACGGACAGGATGATACTGTTAAGGACATGTTTTCAAATTTAGACCATACACATGTCCTTAATGCCATGCAATGGATGCTGAATATGGCAAGGGACAAAAGGAAGACCCATCTGTGCTATAAATTAAGAGGAAAATACATAAACTTCGGTATGGCGAATGGTACGTATGGATGGAAAACCGTGAAAATTAGTATATTATATTATTATGTGATTTATTATACTACGACATTCACCATGCCTATTTCAAAGCACAAGGTGTATTACTGCGACAGATCGAAGCCGTTCCCATGAGGAAGGGCTCTAGCCCGCCTATAGCAAATTTGGTTTGCGCATATGACGTACAAATGGTGCTCCGAAATCGGCATAGACAGAAACATCGCATATGGAATGCGGTTTGCTGATGACGTAATGTTCATTACTATAGCAAATCGGAATAACATCACAAAAGAAATGGCATGCATTAATTCATTCACAAAATGCTACCATTCATCGCTGAAGTTGGAATGCAGATCCAACACAGATAGTACGAAATTGAGTTACTTAGAAACGAGAGTCATAA